CCAGCGGCGCCGTTCCTCCTTCGCCCTTTTGCAGGCGGGCAGCTGCACGTAGCCGCAGCTTCGCTCCCGGGGGGTGAACCCTGCCCTTGGAAGCGGCTGTCGGGTTGTAGGGTTTGTTGTTGGTTTGGGGTTTTTTTTTGTTTGTTTGTTTGTTTTTTTTCCTCCTGAAAAATTTGCCGGTCGTATCCTGAGGGTTGCTGCTGGTTTGTTGTTTTGTTTCGGTTTTGTCTCTCGGACGTTGGAAAGCGTCGCGTGGGTTAAATATTACAGTAAATCCGCGTTTTCGTGCGTGAGCGAACGCATTTAAGCGCCGGGGGGGGGGGCAAGTCTTTGAGAAAAATTAATCAATTCTTCGTTAGAAGCAAACCCAGAGAAAAAAAGCGGTTATTCAGTTTTAGGGGGCTTAGATTGGAGGTATCTGTGTTTTGCAGTGCAAGGGGGGAAATTGAAGGTGCAGAAAAAAAAAAAACCAAAAACGTTTGTACTTGTTTTTTAATGAAGAGTTGGATACAGGGAGCTTGCAGGAATACGCTACCTAAACGAGCCACTTGCGTTTCATTTATCTTTCCTCAGGTTTCCTACTTCCGAGGGATGCTGATGAGTCTCTTTCAATTTACCGCTAGAAGGTTGGTTTCCCAAGCATATTGTGGACTTAAAGCTGCTTCTTCTTCAAAGACACAGAAGTTTCGCTTGGAAATGGCTCGTCCGAGTTCAAGTAAGACATCTGGTTTTTCCTCTACTACCCCGCACAGGTTTTTAAGCTAGATTTGAAATTCTAGACGGTTTTGTATAATAGGTAAAATCTGTAGTTTAATTCAAAACGTTTAGAAGACTGTGACACTGATCTTCTTATTTTTAGCTAGCTGCTAAAATTTATCTTCTGTGTCTGTATTTTATATAGTTCCAAAAAGCCTCGCATAGTTTCAGTCAGTGTCATTGCCTAGTGACATGTTTTTAGCATTTATAATTTATGCACATAAACTACGCTAGTTAATTGCATTTGCTTTTCATAATCCTAAGGGGTAATAAAACTCACTCCTCATTTCTTTGTATGAGAGTTATGGAGGGCCTCCAGTGTTGATAACAAATCAGGAGCAGGGTATTGGGTAAACTCAGGACCCCTGTTCGGTGGTAAAAATCCTCTTTTTGTTTGGGGATTTTTTTGGGTTTGTTTTTTAATTTGAGGATGTGCCTTAACTTTAAAACTGTGCATAGAACTTCACAGGTACAACAGTAAAACCCCAGTTGGGTAGCTGAGGTGCATTTGCTTTTTCTACCATCTTGAGCATCAGTGTTTGGCTGCTGCCTGAGTCTGGAGACCAGACAAGGAGGACTTTTGGCCTGAGCTTTACACATTCAAGGGCTTGTGAGGTTTGGTTTACAATAGCAGACAAGGCATCAGAATCATAGTGTTCTCTGCCTAGTTCTACAGCTCTCGTGTTGTGGGTCTTGGGACTTCTTCAGTGATCTCTCTCCTTATAAGAACTTAACCTGCCTTTGGTTTAAAAAAAACAAAACCCACATAGTAAATTGTGAAGGTTAGGGTTGTGATTAGCAGCTTAAGAGTTTGGCTGTAGGCCACTCACTAGTACAGTACTGTAGGAGTCAGTACTGGGGCCAGTATTGTTTAATACCTTCATTAATGATCTGGATGATGGGGCAGAGTGTACCCTCATCAAGTCTGCAGATGACACAAAGCTGGGAGCAGTGGCTGATACACCAGAGGGTTCTGCTGCTGTCCAGAGGGACCTTGACAGGCTGGAGAAATGGGCTGACAGGAACCTCATGAATTTCAGCAAACAGAAATGCCAAGTGCTGCCCCTGGGGAGGAACAACCTCGGGCACCAGGACAGGCTGGGGGTGACCAGCTGGAAAGCAGCTTTGCAGAAGAGGCCCTGAGGGTCCAGGTGGACGCCAGGCTGACCATGAGCCAGCGATGAGCCTTTGTAACAATGAAAGCTAATGGGTGTCCTGTGCTGCACTCAGCAGGGCATCTCCAACTGATGGAGGGAGGTGATCCTTCCCCTCTGCTCAGCCCCGGTGAGACACATCTGGAGTCTGCGTCCAGTGCTTCTCAGTACAAAAGAAAGATGGACATACTGGGGACAGACCAGCAAAGGGCCACAAAGATTTGGATCATCTGACACATAAGGAGAGTCGGGGAGAGCTGGGACTGTTCAGGCCTGGAGGAGACCAGGCTCAGGGGTGTCTTATCTAAAACGCATGACAACACCTGATGGGAGGGAGTGAAGACAAGGCAGACCCTTCTCGGTAGTGCCCAGTGACAGGACGTGAGGCAGCGGACACAAATTAAAGCACACAAGATTCCATCTGAACACAAGAAAACGCTTTCTCTTTTTTTTACTGTGAGGGTGGTCAAACATAGGAATGGGTTGTGCAGAGAGGTTATAGAGTCTCCATCCTTGGAGATCTCAGAACGCACCCAACTGGACACAGTCCTGGACAGTCTGCTCTGCCTGACCCTGCTTGAGCAGGGGTGAGGGGTGGACTAGACAATCTCCAGAGGTCCCTTCCCACTACAGCCATTCTGTGATTCTAAAATATGTTGCTTTAAAATTAATACCTGAAGTAAACTGGATGAGGTTTTATTTTGTCTCTCTGTAACTAACCTTTTTAATCTTGGTCTGGTTCTTAGAAAAATATAAAGGAAATTGCCTATCTTTTTTCCAAGTTACTTTACCATGTAGGGAAGAATGGAGGAATACATATTCAAAAATAGAAAATACAACTGCAAACCTAGAAAATGGGTGAGATGCCTCAGAAGAAAATGGTTTTCCCAAATTACCTTAATTTTTGAAGGTGATACTTTGTAATGAAACTTTTTTTTTTCCATCTTAGGGTCTTACATTACAATTAGGAAGCAAACTGTTCCTGGATGGTGGTGGCAACAGTTGTTATCGGGTAGCATCTAGTGTGGGGTTTTAGTTGAAGGCTGCATCTTTCAAATACTGAGTATACTCATAGTTTAATATATATTGCCCTACTGAGCTTGCTCATACGCATTTTTGAGGATCTCCAGGAATTGCCCTTCAAATTCCAATATACAGAATTCAGAAACAAATCAGTATTCTGAAATCAAAGCCATGGGAGGTATAGGTGGAAGCTGTCTCTGCATGCATAAGTTTGCCAGTACTGCCTGTATTATGGCCTCTTACATAAAAGTACAAGTGTTTGAACGGCTGTTCGTTCTTCCTCCCCACACACAGATATGGCTGATTTTCGAGAAGTGTTTGCCAAAGCGAAGCATATCGCCATTATCACGGGAGCCGGTGTTAGTGCGGAGAGTGGAGTTCCCACCTTCAGAGGGGCTGGAGGTTTCTGGAGAAAGTGGCAAGCCCAGGTACGTACTGGTGGCATGTGTCTGCGCAGCTGCGCTGCTCTGCCCCGCAGGTGGGTGAGCGTGAAGGCTTAGAAGCAACCGGGGACCGTAGAGGGTGGACGTGCTCCTGTGGTGGTACGGTGGGGACAGAGCTCTCCCTCCAGCCGTGTCTGCAGCTCTCCCTGTGCCCTGGGTGTCTGCTTTATGCAGCTGCAACTTCTTTTCTGTCGTTCAGTTTATCGGTTGTTTGTGAAGACAGCAGTGGGTCTTTCTACCATCCTTGTTTTCTTGTGGCTGCAAGAGCTTTGCTGTTTGCTCATCTCATGACACTCTCACTGTTTCCCTACTTTATGGAGCCTTTCCTGTTTTAAATCCATGTGCCCCACGCTGTTGATATCAGTTATTTCCTCATTTGATAAGATATGTTGACTTGTCATCCTTGTAAGGGCTACTGAACTGCATCTGGTTATAAATAATCTGCTTTTGATTATTTTGTGATGCTGGTTGCAGTGTAAATGGCAGTAATCTAGCAGGCTTCATCTGGGGAGGGGATTTTCTTGCCCTTTTGTTGGTAGAGTGAATCGTTATGTCTTCTTCAGGAGCTGGCTACTCCAGAGGCTTTTGCGCGAAACCCTTCTCGTGTGTGGGAATTTTACCATTACCGCCGGGAAGTGATGCTGAGCAAACATCCCAATCCCGCACATGTTGCCATTGCAGAGTGCGAAAGGCGACTGAGCAAGCAAGGAAGGAGCGTTGTGGTCATTACGCAAAATATCGATGAACTACACAGAAAGGCAGGGACAAAGCACCTCTTAGAAATTCATGGTAAGAGTCAGCTTACCTCTCTGCTACAGGCCAGCTAACCTGGGGGGGAGAAGAGAGAGCAGGACAAGTACTGGGAGAAAGGAAATTTGTCTTTACAATGATAATAACTTGCATGAAGTTGTTACAATAATAACTTGCAGGAAGTTTACGATGTCGCCCTGTTCTCTTTTGGAAGTTGTTTCAGGTACTTCATAGCCTCTATTTCTCATCTTTCTTTTTTAATGGATTCTGACACTACATAGGAACTTGTTCTCCTCTCTCGCCTGCTCAGTTTTGCCTCGAATCCACTTGGATACATGTGGATACTGACACTTGGCTGTGATTTCGCTTAGAAAAGGGGAAAAGAATCCATGAGGACTTCCACCGCAAGGTAGTGGTGGTGCCACGCCAGTATTGCCACCAATAAAAGTTGTATTGGCAAGACTGGTCTCACCCACCCTGGTGCTTTCCCTCTGTCCTGGCCTGTCCTTCAAAGACAGAAGGAAGAAGGGGCTGGAGACAGATGAGATTCCCTTACCCTTCTCCCCTTCACCCAGAGGCACTCCCTCTCTTTCCCCTGGCTCAGTGGCATTCCTTGCTCTCACCCTCTCTTCTGCAAAGTGCCAAAGGAGCACAGAGCAGGTGCAGCACGCGGGGGTCAGTGGGGCTTTTGGATCTAAGGAAAGACACGGGTGTGGAGAGAGCAAAGGTGGGGAAATCCTTCTCCATTCTTGGAGGTGCCCCTGCGCCTCCTTTCTCCGCTCGGCAGGCCCTGCCGCAGAGTGAGGCTCCCAGTCCAAAGGCCCATCCTGGTCCTCCAGCACGATACTTTGTAACTTAAGTATCACAGCCGGTTTAAATGGGATTTCCCACTGCTGCTTTGTGATCTGGACACAGGAAACCTGCACAAATTTTTCTGCAGGTGTGGATCCAAGGATAAAGCCTTGGGTATAGTTTAATTTTTATTAGCTTTATTCTTTACAAAACAGAAACAATTTAAAAACTCTTGGTAACATTGAACATCTCTGCAACATGTTACTAATGCTACGAAAGTCTTGGGGTTGGAGAGTTTTGCATAAAACAAAGCAGGGTGAACCAGCAATTTTTTTTTTTTTTTTTTTAAAGAAAATGTTCCCAATTTAAGGGGAAGAGCAATTAGCAGAAAAAATCTCTCAGTGATATTTTAAATAATGATTTTCCTCAGAAATGCTGTTAGGAGGCTGTGCGTTACTCGTGTCGTGAGGTCAAACAAGGTGATAAATCATAGCTTAGAGGGACTGTTGCTGCTGTTTGCTGCAGCCTTTCAGCTGATATGGCCGTGTCTGTCTTTCTTTGCTGGGCCCGGTCTGTGCTGAACTATGACACTGGTCACCTCGAGTTGCTGAGCAAAAGCGTGTGTACGCACTGTGTAAGTAGCCTCTTGTTCATAATGCTGCCAGGTTTCAAGGCTTGGCTGTTACATTGACATAGTAAATTACCCACAAGGTATAGTCTTCAAGGTCAAATAAAGGCTGTCTGGGATAAACACAGCCACTTGCTTGTACAGCCATGCTTCAGAGCAGTCGCTTGATCCCTGACGTTTTCTCTTTCCTTGTTTCAGGTAGTTTATTTAAGACTCGATGCACCAACTGTGGGAACATAGCTGCGAATTACAAGAGTCCAATATGCCCCGCGTTGGCTGGGAAAGGGTAATATATCTGCCTTGTAAACTCTCTGTATTTTCTACTCTGTCTTAATAGGAAAGGAGCCATTTTAGGAGTGTACAAGAGTTTCAGCCAACCACCTCACTTTTCTTTAGTGTAGTATCAATGCTTATATTTTACACAGCTGCTTTGGAGCGAGTATACTGTTTGGTAACTTCAGTGAGAGCCCATGATACCGTGAAGTCCTGTGAATGAATAACCTCTGAGTTAGCACAATATTAAACATATTTTAATTAGAACAATTTCAAATGGTCTGAAACTCTCATCTTGGACATCAGCTAATTGTACTCTATGAGAATGTGTGTTTACACCCATTCTCTTCACCTTCCAGGTTTTTTATTGAATTGGATGCTTATTCCTTCAATTGGGCTGTCATTGTTTGATACATGGATTGTCCTCTTCTGCATCTCTTGAGCACTTAGCAGCTTTTGTCCTTCAGCTTATCAATAAGATTCTCATGATTACAGGTCTCAAAATACAGAGGTGTCAATCCATCAGGAAGGAAGCATCAGTTCCCAGGATTTCTGCAACTTAAGAAGTTGCAGAAGAATCCTTCACTCTCCTTTTTCTACCCATCCTCTTTCTTTCACCCTTAAAAAAAAAAAGGGGGGGCCAAGGGGACGGGATGGGCATATGCTCATGAATTTTTAGTTTTTTTTCGCTTTGCATTTTATCAGACCTTTAGGTGGCCACATAAATATTTGTTGTGCCTTTGACAGACTTTGACCAGCTTATTACAGCTGCTTAGCTCAGGGATAATTCTGATCAAATGCCTGCCTGCCCTGGATGTGGTATTTTAGGGTTGTGGTAGGTGGTGAAGTTGGATGAAGTTGCAAAGATTCCTTGACTGGAGAGCGTGCTTTAGAGGATACTAAGTTTTTATTCATATATAAAGTGCACTTTGTACAACTGAGTATATATTTACATTTTGTCACTTCAGGGCTCCAGATCCTGAAACAGAAGATGCCACGATTCCAGTTGAAGACCTTCCTCAGTACGTATGGACCACTTTGTTTTTTGCCATTACCTCTTCCTGCTTTGCATATCTCAAAGGCTCCTATTGCTGTTCGCATAGTTTTGGAAGGACACAGAAACATTCTACTGGAGAAAAAGGCGTGAGACTTTGCCCCAGAGAATGGAGCTTGAAGTTACGGGGTACAGCAGACAACAGGAGTGTGTACTAGAAGTTTACTGTGATGCTAAAAGGGTTGCATGTTTGCGTCCTTGAGCACCAAGCTGAAACATGCCTAAATCCATGGGGTTTGTACCAAGTGGAGTAGTAGAAGGATTGCTATGAGAAACAAAGTGCCACATGGTAAACATTTGCAGGCACTACCCACCGTTAGTCAGCCTGGAACGCTGTGCTGGGGCACAGCTGCTACACAGTCCCTTCCTTGCAGGCATTAAATGCGCCACAGTGCTTTTCTGTAATTGGCAGAAGCTTTGCCTTAGCAGATACCACCGTATACTTTTCATCTGATCCCTAAGGAAAAGAGGCTAACACGAGGCTTCTGTCTTCCAGTTCGCTTCCTCCTTAAAAACCTGTTGGCCAGTTTGATAAAGTTGATGGAGGCCAAGGTCTGTAGCACACAATGTTTGAAGTTTCATGCGTTTCAGGAGCTAAGGGGAGGACAACAATTAAGTACCCGAGTCGAACCACCATTCAGCAACCCATTCTATGTGACCGGGCAGGCTGTGTGTACTTCCAACATGCACGTAGCACGGCGTCAGCTGCCTTCTGTCCAGCATGTGGCAGATGGGGGTGTGGGGTGGGCGGGGAAAGAGAAGGGCAAGGAGTGACGAAGGCAGGTAAGACGTGCCCAAACGCGAATGAAAACTGCTTTGCAGCTTGAAATGTCCGTGTGAGCAGCGTTAATGCCGTGCCTTTGTGATGGTTAAACAGGTGTGAGGAGGACGGCTGCAACGGGCTCCTCCGTCCCCACGTTGTGTGGTTTGGCGAGACCCTGGATCCTGACGTTCTCACAGAGGTCGAGAGGGAGCTTGATATTTGTGACCTCTGCTTGGTAGTGAGTGACGGTTTGGTTACCTGGGCCCTTACTGGCAGGGAGGCCACGCGAAAGGGGTGCAGCTCCTGGGGGAGGGAGAAGTGTCTCTACTTCCCCGAGGGAACTGAAAGCCCCTGAGGGACTTCTAGCATCCAGTGGAAAACATGAAAAAGACCATCAAGTTTGAAAATGTCCATACACCGCTGGGAAGCGAACAGGTTCAGCGTGTGTGCACCCTGATCAGCTGGCACCTGCAGTTGGCATTTGGTGTACCTGGAAGTGTTAGAGGTTAGCTGATAGCATTTAGCTGCTGAATTTCTCAAACAGTGAAAAATAGGATTATTTTGATGCTCGGTTTAAAAAAAAGTGACAAAATGTTGTAAGAAGGTAGCTAGCCGTTATTCTGCACTGCTTTTTATGGGAGGTTGTTTACATGCCATGTAGGTGCCAGATTGCTGACCAAAAAACCACCAGCTTAGAATATCACATACCCTTCACACAATAATCTCAATAACAGAAGGAATGTTGTGTTTTCATTTCCTGAAGGCAAAGTCTGCCATTTTGTGTTTCTGGGATTTTATTTTTCATCTACATTTATAATCCATAAACAAGATTCTTTGGGTTGCATCAGAGAGACAATTCTCGATTCTGATACTATGTTAAATAGCTCCGTGTACAGTGACACTAAACAGAGATACTGATTTGGTTTCATTTCTATAGGGATCTTCCACGTTTTAGTGGTTTTGCACATCCAGTGTTCTGAGAAGGGTCCTTACCTTGGGCTTGGGTTGGCTTTGTCTAACTGCTGGCCTGCTCCACTCTGACTTTTTTTTGCCCTGTCCCTGTAGGTCGGGACCTCCTCTGTGGTGTATCCCGCGGCTATGTTTGCCCCTCAGGTATCTGCCAGAGGAGTTCCAGTAGCAGAATTTAACATGGAAGCTACTCCCGCTACAAACAGATTCAGGTAAAGCTGCCGAGTTTTAAACGAGCAACCTTTAGTCCCCTCCATCTTCCTCATCTTTGGCATTATGCTACTAAAGTGCATAGAAAAGTTTTAAACAAACCTGATGTAGTTTTTTCCCCCAATGCTTAAGAAATATGATGCCAATAAGCAGGGAAAGATGATTGTTCGTTCTCGTTGGAATGCACTTAAGCTGAAGCCACAACTGTGTTTCTCGGCGTGAAGCTGGAGTCCGGCCCTAGGCCCCAGGCGGCCTCGCCCCCGGCCGAACCAGCGCCCTCGGGCAGCCGTGCGCCGGCCCCAGCCCGCCCCTTCACCCGCTGCTTCCTTCCAGGTTTCACTTCCCGGGCCCCTGCGGGAGCACCCTGCCGCCGGCGCTGGCCCGCCACCAGACGGAGATCATCTCCTGAGCCCCTCGG